TATCTTTATATATGAAGGTTCATCAAGGCGGAACATCGTGTTGACAGCGACGTCCTGTCAGCACTTAGCAGTACAAGCTCCCCCTCCTAGCCCAGCAGCTCCCCAGGCAGGTGGGGCCATTGAATGCCCTCAGAGCCCCCCACTCACCATGGCTTCACCGCAGCACCCCTAGGGCAGCAGCCCCCACCCCACTATATGCCCTCCCCAGTGGCACACAGCTGCAAGCCCTTGGGGTGACCATCATCAGCCTGCCCTGCCCCACCTGCCCCCAGCACTGCCCTGCAGCCCCCCAGAGAGCTGCTGCACAGCAAGAGCAGAGCTGGTCTCACCAGGAGTAATAATGAAATGCAAATAATAATAAATATTTGTTAAATAATAATAAAGGCAAGGCGATGGGAAGCTGGGGAGGGGAATAGAGAAAAGCCCACAGCAGCAGAAACGGTTTCATGGCCCAGCAGTGAAAGGCACTGCCACGGTGCTTCGTCCTGCCAGACGGAGCTGCTGGCTGCGGTGGGTGCTGCTCATCATGACAAGCAGCCCTGAGCTGGGCCAGGTACTGCCCAGAAATGCTTGTGAAGGGGATTTTTGGGAAAGCCCGCCTTAGCAGAGTAATGAATAGTATTTTCCTATCATATAAATAAACCGAGGATGGAGTTGCAGCCAAAACACCCATGGCCAAACCCACTCTGAAGCCCAGTCACTGCATATGTCCTCGTGGGGCCCCACCTGCCTGTCACCCCCTTACATATTACCCCGAAGCATCACTGCAATCAGTCCCCAAATGAACTGCGTTTCTGTGAGCTGCAAGCAGAGCACAAGAGTACCACGGACCTGGCTCCAGCCCAAGGACTAATTTACTTTCCTAAGCCTTGAGTTCAACTAGGCATATTAAAACGGTGTGGGAAACGCTGCCAACCCTGCTCAGTCTAGACGGGGTGCTCGGACTGGCTGTTTTGCCCTCCCGTTTCCTGCAGTATCCGAGCATCATCTCTCTGCCCTGAGGTCTGTGCAATCTGGTCACCGAAGCCTCCCCCTTCCAGTGTTTAAAAGCCTCCCGCCCTACAGCAGCTCCAGGAGAGGCCATGCTGCGGTAGCATGCAGTAATGGTAACCTCCGAATCAATTCTTGCTCCCTGAAGAAAATCCTCCTGGCTTTAGTGCCACAAGCTGTAATACTGAAAATGGCTGTAAATTTGAAAAATTGGCACATTGTAGTCCAACAAGACAATTTTTGAATTGCTCCATGCAGCTGTGCAGTTCTGGATGCTATGCTGCTTGCATCTTAAACTGGGAGGTAGAGCATGTTCCGAGCTGAAATAAAAAAAAATAAAATTAAAATTAAAAAACAAACAAACAAACAAACAAAAAAAACAGTTTTGTTTTGTGGTTTTCCTTCCTGCCCATCCAAAACCTGTGTGCTGGTCCTTGGTTAACCACAGCAGTAGGACGCTGGACTCGGCAGCACGGCTAGAGGAACCCCAACCTATTCAGGGGAGATGGGAGGCAAATGCAGTGTTCAAGCCAGCATGAACTTGCTCGAGGACTGCATAAAGTGCTTCTGGGCACCAGGGAGTAGGGTAGCTGAGGCTGGGAGGAAACTGGGACTGAACCCCTTAGCAGGATTAAGGGGCACCCAGAGAAAAGATCACTGCAGGTTGAGCCAGGCTGACTAAACCAATTTAACATCCCAGTTACTCAGAGGGTCTGCTTTTTTGCTGGACTGAGAGGCCTTTCAGTTTCTGTGCTCTAAAGCAGGAGACAAAATCCTGGAATAAATAACTTGAAGGGAGATGAGAAAGCAAAAGAAACAATCGGTATCTGGAGGAGGCAGAGAAAAAAACTCATTTAACCAGCCGTAATGAACTACTTCACACGTCGTTTCTTCTGGTGAACAAAGACCGGGGAGGGTTTGTGGATGATATCTGAAAGTCAGACCCCTTTCAGGAGCAACACATTTACTGTACTGCAGTTCTTCCGGGAAGCCAACAAGACTGGCTCATTAAATTTTAGTATTATCTCTGTAGCCTTCTGCATTGTTTGATTAAAGTTTAATAGCTTGCTTGGTGGCGTTTGCTGCCTATTGTCGAGCCTTGCCCCCTCCCACCAGCAGTCCTGCCTTCGCTGGGGGAAACACAAGGCCTTGGCTGGCTTTGCGCTGTCGGGAGGTGTCAGGAGGTCGCAGGGTTTGAAGAGGAAGCCTCAGGAACCCCACAGGGGTTGTTTTTCTTCAGGGTGATCTTCTGCCAGCTTCGCAAGCACCAGCTGTGTGTGGTGCTCTCTTGGGAAGAGCAATGCTCCTTGCCTTGCCCAAACAGCAGCCTGATTTCTGGTCTTTGTTCCCTCTGACTCTGCTTGTGCTCTTCTCCAGCGCTGAGTACAGCTGCAGAGCCTGTCCAGAGACAGGTACATGACCTCTGAACCATCTCCTACAGCCTCAGCAAGGACTTCAGGTATTTTTGAAAACAGGCAGGAAAGGGAAAAGGACTCCTTGTCTTTGTAGGGTCCAAATGGAGAGGCCCTCAGGCAGACCGCGTTTTCACAAAACTCTCAGCAACACATCTCCCAGAAATCTGTCTCAGTTGAGAACCTTAAGAGTGGACGAACCCACGATAATTTCTGGAAATCTTAGCCTGCAAATTGCAAGAGGTCTGAGAGCCCTGCCTGCAAAGTTGTTTCCATTCCTGGTGGCCATTCAAAACCTACCCATTTCTGCCTGTAAATCAGGCTGCCAGAATCTGAGTACCTCCTTCCCAGGTCCATACGTGAGCCTTTGCACTTGCAAAGTAACTGCAGGCACCAGACTGTGCATGCAAAATTGAGTGCCTGATTGTATGAAAATGCTCTCTGTGAAATTAAACGTTAAGTCTGAATGAGCAGAATTTTACCGAGATGTTTGTGTGTGCATTGAAATGCAGGATGGCCTGAAGCTGTTTGTCTTAAGAATTTAATGAAAATACTTTGTTTATTGCAGCGTGTTGTATGTGTGAATTATAGGTGTACATAATGCCTAACAAATGGAGCGCACTTCTGCATCCGCTGCCTGGGGGATTCCTGCACGCACACACTTGTAGCACTGACTGTCACATCAGGATCCGAGTGAAATGCAGCCTTAGCTCCTAAGCAGCCTGTGGAGCTTTGGTCACTGCATAAGACCAGGATCTTTCAGGACTTTCTTCTGGCTGCTCCTGTGAGACCATCAGAGGACTTTGGTAGGTAGGACTTGAAGAAGGAGGGCCTGGGTTGTTTAGTCACTCACCTTCTCTGTTGAAAATGAATTACGGTGTCTAAGAGGGATGCCCCAGCCTAGGCAGGTGCAGCGCAGAGATCCCCTGGGATGGCTGGGGGCAATGGTCTGCAAGCTTGGCATTGCGTGTGGTCCCATCAGGGACAAGAAACCCAACAGCCCTGCGTTGCCATCTGCCTCTGTGCATTTGGGGTTTCAGATACATGGGAGTTTGTAATTGAGAAGGTGGTTGCTACCCCAGAACCACCATCCTCTGCCAGGTGAGAGGAGGCACTCTGAGCCCCCTGGACACGGGCAGCACGGTGCCACCCGGGGGCACCGCCTGAGACCAGCCAGCAGCCCGAGAAGCTGCACTTGACCCCTCGTTGTGGAGTGACAGCACACCTTCCTCCCCGCCCCCTTCTTCTCTATCAAAAATCTGAAGCCATTTTCAGTATTACAGCTTTTGCTGCATAAAGCAGGGGGATTTTCTTCAGGGAGCAAAAAATTGATTCAGAGGTTTCCATTAACTCACATTAGCACAGCACGGCCACTTTCAAGGGCTGGTCTTGGCAGTGAGCGTATTGTAAAAGAAATGGGGCGTTTTCAATGCCCGAATTCAGTGGAGTTAAGCTGGAATAAGTCCATTAGGGGGTGATTTTGCAGTGGGGTGTGGGAGACAGCCTCCTGGAGATCATGGGGAAGATCAGATGGGATTCTCGTGGCATTTCACAGGGCTCGCTGGGGGAATTCTCAGTGAAATGGGAGCTTTTGAGAGCAAGGCAGATAGGAGGCTACAGTCAGAATGGCAGCAGGATAACAGCAAGTCACAGGCACACTGCTATACTAATATTACGGCAACATTTTCCTTCTTCATCCCCAGGGCTGAGGAAAGTAAGGCTCAGGAAGATGAGGGGTTTGCCTGAGGATGCCCTGCAGGCCAAGAATAGAAGTCATGTCCCAAAGCTTTCCCAGATGGGGTGGAACTGGAAAACTGCCATCCAGCCCCCCCGAGCCTCCAAACGGTGCTGGCCTGTCACTTCTCTGTGCTGTTCTAGTTGTGACCTGCCACAACACGAGCTGCCGGGTCAGTGGTGTTGTGACTGTGCTCAGGGGAGCAGAGGTTGATGGTAACGCTCATGGATGTAGTTAGATGGCGATACCCTCTCCCATCAGGCAGCCTCTCGCTGGAGCAGCTTGCTGACTTTGTGGTGCTGTCAGAGTTTCTGCAGACTCTTCTGCCACAACATCTCCGCTCGCTGACATCCCCGTCCCTTCCAGCCTCGTTGCAGGTGACGGGAGACACTGAACTGCCAGTTCTTTTTGCAGGGGGCAGGAGCTGGCAAGGAGCTGCATGATTGATACTGCGATTATGCGATTGCACCTTGGCACCGCAGTAATTGTGCTAGACAGAGCTGTTTAAATACCACCAGACAGAGTATTACTCACATGAAAATGAGGCCTTAAATGTCATTATTTGTGTCATTATTAATAGCCCCTAATTGTGTTCTCTAATCATCATGAAATTATGTTAATATTAATATTCACATCAAAACTGCCTAGGGAATGAGAAGAACTACTTTTAAAAAAAAAAATCCTACCATATGTCAATCCCCATTAATGTGAAACACTTGCCTTTTGCATCTAGGAGATCAGATGCAAGAAGAGGAGACATGGAGTGGGGCGGGGGGGTTCCTCTGCACCTCTAACTCCTGGAACACACTCTGCACCGTGATGCCCTGCAAACACGTCAAAGAACTCATTGCCTTAGACTGTACTTGCTTCTTAAGGAGCTTTATTTCTTTTGAGAGGGCTTCTGACAAGTCCATCAGAGGGAACAAAGAGCTGGACAAGATTTTGGTAAGCATCACCATTCAGGTATTCGACAAGTGCCATGCTGCAACAGGCGTGGGAGTGTGGGAGGGCGATGTCACCAGGGAACAGGGCAATAAGAAGCTGAATTCTTTATTTACACACAGAAATCTTGGATGATGCAGGAATATCGCAACATTTTGTAACGCTACTAGGTTATTATACTTATTTTCCTTATATTAAGTTCACTCCTTACATTGTATTTTTACCAGCACGAAAATCCACCTGAGAGAATGAAAACAGCATGAATCCACCAAAGAAGTATTTGGAAAAAGCCTCCCAAAGGGATTAATTTTAATGGATGTTGCTCGAGAACTGAAATCTCTGGATGTTAAGGACATTTGGCACCCTGTACAATCATTATAATTATTGTAACGGTTCCACTGAGGTGGCATTTTTAGAAGCCTTTACCTAGTCATAGTCCCATTACTGCAGGTGATGTGCCCACACATGGCAAATAGCAGGCTTTGCCTCCAGGAGCTTCCAGTCCAGCAGATGAGATGTACTGGATGAATCGGGTAATGGCCAGGTGGCAGAGAACTGGTTTTCTGGAGAAAAAAAATAAAATAAAAATGTTAATGAAAATAAATCACTTTCTCCGCAATTTTCTGCAGCTCCATTTTCCAACTAGCTTCACTTGCAAGTATCCAAATGCCTACCTTAATAAAACAGAGAGGTTTCTAAGTGCCAAACTATTATGGCTTGAGTTAAATATAACTCGGAGAGTTAAAATAACTTCAGAGCCGGCGGGATGCGGGCATGTGAGAGCAGCCCTACCGGCCACGTCCTCCCGAGGGCCGACGACAGGGACCGGCAGGGACCGACAGGGACCCGCAGGCAGCGCCGGAGCTCAGCTGAATGCGGATGGAGCCCGAAGGCACCGGGGCCCCGGGCTGAGCACCAGGGCTGGGTGCTGCCGGCCCGGCTCGGGGCACCCCGGGGCACCCCGCACCCCGAGCGCCTGCCCCGGGGGCGGGCAGGAGCCTCGCGAAGGTATTTAACACTTTCGTGCGAACGATTTTGCCATAAAATATTAATGACGTATATATAATCTAATTGATTCCTTAGGGCAATAACCTCTGACAAAATGGCCCTGATTAGAAGATAATTGAGTGTGTTGAATTGCGTCCTAAGAGAGCTTAATGTTGACAAGGTCCATTATCTTGTGATAATGACCCCCTTTTGTCAGGTGTTAGTGCCATTAGGAGACACTTTTGTAGGAATAAATCCTTCCGTTTAACTCTTTTGTCTAATTACATGGATCATTTTACAAATCAAAGCAAACCTTCTCCTCCTGGGCAGGCCCCGGGCTGGGGAGGGGCGGCCGGCGGTGGGTGCGCAGAGCCTGGGACCGGGGCTTGGAGCTGTTGGAGCTGCAGGGAGCAGGACCCTGCCTCGTTTTTTTTTCCCCATCAGAGGCTTCTGTTGCTCCTTCCAGCAGGGTTTGGAGCTCGCTGCCCGGCAATCAGCTTTCTTTGCAGCAGCGTTTAGCCAGACAAACACGGTGAGGAGGGGGAGGCGTTAAACCAAAGTTGCACGGCTCCTGCTCGCCCCCCGGCCAGCTGGGTGCCCCACGAAGATATCCGCGGTCATCTGCGGGGAGAGGAGACTGTTCACATCCAGGAACACGCTTTCCTTCGCTCTCTCTGCACCTGGTTATTACAGGCGTGCACTATAACTATGGCACTTACAACAACAGGGTGCTCGGCTTTGTCTCTTCGAGTGTGAGAGGGTGGCTAAATGCAACTGCCTCACCGCTTTGTAACTTGAGAATTCTGGATTTAAGGGCTGTTTCCCAGCATCTGGCTCTGAATGGAGCTGAGGGGCGGGAAGGGGAGGCTCCTGTGCCCAGGGTGTCCCTCGTTGTCCAGAGCGCTTCTCCAGCTGGGTTCGAGTCTTCCCATCCTAGCCCTTTGCCAGCAGCACGACAGCTAAAGGGGCAACTTCAGATAATTGCACATAGTGCATTTTCTGGGAAGGTGTGGGGAAATAGGGAGAATGGGTAAGAAGCCCAAGAGCTGATCCTGGGTGCTGTGCATGAGCACAAAGCAAAGGGAGTCAGTGTTTTTCCCTGAAGACAAATGCCTTCTGTGCTCTCTTCCAGACATGCACGTATATGGACATTCAAGAAAGCATTAATGTAAAACACCATTGATTTCAATTTATATTAATACACTGTGCAGTGAACTGAGATGGCTGATTCACAGTCCTCATCAGATTTCACTGGTGCTGGGTAAATCAGATCCCTTGGTTCACTGTAGTTTAATTATACGCAAATTGTAAGTGAATTAAGATAAATCGAATTAGAACCACTCTAATACTGAATAAAAACACCCACAAAGGAGTTTGCTAGGGTTTAACTAATCCGCTTTGAGAGCTAATGTGGATTCATTGGCCTGGGCGTCCGTGCACGGCCAAGTGCTGATGCCAAGGCTGGGTCCCCATCATGGGCTGTGCCGTGCTCAGGACCAGCAGGAGCACAGCCTCAGCAGGATGCAGAATAACCCAGCAGCCGGGGCAGTTCCACTTGTCCCTGCAATCATCGCTGCTTGCCAGGGAAGGGCTGGCTTGTTTTGACAGTGGTCAGCCACTGGGGAGATGGAGAACAGAGGAACAGAGCCAGAGTATCACAAATTAGGATGAAAGTCGGGAGAAGAGGAGCTGGAGCAGACTGATGAGGCACAAATTGGAAGCTGGGGTGGGTCTTTCTTCTTCTTCTTCCTTTTTTTTTTTTTTTTTCCTCCCAGGGAAGTGTCATTTGTACAAATTGCCAGTCCGTGCCAGCTTGGGAGAGACCTTAGAAGGGAAACCTGGAGCCTTCCCTGCTTTTCATGTGAGCGGATGCCCCTTTTATTTCTGAGCAAGGAGTAAGTGGAGAAAAAAGGAGCCCCTGTCAGCCTCTCAGAGACAAATTGCTTCCTGCAGCCAGAGGTGGCTCAGCTCTAACAATCACCCACTGCCAGAGGTGAGCGAGGTGCCCCGCTCCCCGCCAGCCCCCTCCCTCCTCACACACCCGCTCCCCCCTTAACTGCGGGCTTTTAAATTGAGACCCAGATAAGTAACTAACCGTCCCTTTCATTTTTATCGGGCCAGAATGATTTACTGGGCCAACGTGTGAAAAGTGCACGGGACTCCGCTGCTCAGGCGGCAGAAAATACCTTCCTGCCTAAATGAAATGACCCAACCGACGCACAGGGTTAAAGATATATGTGGTGCTCCTGTTCCCTGCCTCCTCTACATCAGATGGGCTGTTATCTCCCTGCGCGCTCTCCTCTTCCGAGAGGGAGGTGGGCAGAACAGGCCACCGGAGGACTGCGAGCCATAAAGTTATTAAAACAGTAGAGGCAACAAAGCAGCATGGATTCCCTGCTGCTCTGACATTTCCAGAGGGTGAAAGGTAAAAATGCAGGGAGGCTCTCATGCTATGTAAAAAACACAGGCCAGTGCTTTTCGGTTTCTGCCTGAGCTCTCAAAGCAGCTAATTAAACGGGAGGGAGAAATCCACAAAGCAAGCTTCAAGCCAGCAAACAAAAGCCGGGCCCGGCAGGGGAGTGGCTGGTCGGGGCTGCGGAAGGACGCTGCTTTCTCCCCGCCGGGGCTGCCTCTGAGCCTTCTTGTTTCGGGGAAGGTCGGGAGCGGGGCTTGTTGCAACCAAATGGCTCCAATCACAGCTCCTCATAATTCACCCTAATTCAGACACCGAGGCCAGGAGCCAAACCGCACGGAAAGGTGCAGAGAATTGCAGAGCAGCGGTGGGAAATGGCACGCTCCCAGGCAGCCACCTCAAATTCCTTACAGCCTCCGCACCTACACATCAAGCCCTTTGGCTTCCCAGTGCTCGCACACCTCCATGCAGCATCCCTTAGGGACGTGGCCAGGGGAGGCAGTGGGTATGGGTACGGGGTATGGGTACAGGGCACGGGTACCATCTGCACCGCATTCTGTGGGGCCCACGCCTGTGGCTGTCTCGCAGCACAGACTGATACCCCGTCTGATTGATCTCGGGTTAGCCGCCTGTCCGCCCACGCCCTATCACTAATGGCCTCATTAGTTAGGGAAAAGGGTTGCTGAAGTCAATTTATAATATGTAATAGTGAAAAACAGCAAAATCAATATCTCCGCAGAGTCAGGGGGAGACTAGAGGGAGGGACGGGGCCCAGGGTTAAGTTCAGATAACTGATGAGCTTAAAAACCACGCTCCCAGCATCTGTACTCACGTTAAATACATAATCGGGAGCATTCCATTCTGATTAGCTGACGAGACAGTCGGCACTTACCGAGGTCTTTCCTTTCCCTGGGCCTTGTGCCAGCAGAGCGTGCCGTGCCTCCCGTCCTTCCGTGGGACCGTGCCGCTGTCCCGTGGGGATGGCACCAAGCTGGGGGGCCACCACCCTCCTCCGTGCCTCAGGGGCTCAATGGGCACACACGGTGAGACAGGAGTGACAGAACGAGCTGACTCCAGTCTACCTGTGCCCATGCTGGGGAGAGAAAAACCTGCCTGAAGTGGCTCACAAATCTCCGGGTTAAAGGCATGCTATTGCAAAGGCAACATGTTGAGAGCTGGAGCCAGACGGATTTGGATGAGCAATGCAGTGAAAATTATCAACTGCGGGAACAGTGGGGGATTCCCTGCTCTGGGGAAACTTGAAATCAGGGATGAATTTGCTCTCTCGCAGCATGCCCTGGGTCACATAGGACTTAATTCAGAGCAGTCAGACATACTGGGCTGTGCACTGAGGGATCCTAAAGGTTCCCTCTGATCCGTGATCCAAAACCGCAGCCCCCTGTGACACGGGCCTCTGTGAAGCATCTCGCCAAAGATCTCCATTTAGTGGTAATTCCCTTTATAGCTTATTTTTGCTGTGTGGTTGCACACCCCATTGTTTACCCGAGCACACAAGTCCCTGGCTCTCCTCTCCGTTTTGTTCCTCTCTCAGCTGGCTTCCATCGAGCCGATTTCCCCCTCCTCCTGTGTTTTGCCACGGAGCCTAAATCGACACATCTGTTTTTAAACAGAGGAGCAGTCGCATCATCCCCAGCTTCCAGTGCCACACATCCAGCTACCGAGCCTCCGCTGAGCAGGCAGCAAAGGCACCACCTGCCCCCGCCAAGAGGGTTCTGGCAGGGGGCTGCCCAGCCCGCCCGCTGGGTTTGTATAGGGCCTGCAGGGAATGGGGATGGAAAAAACAACAGCAGAACATTACCCTTTTTTTTTTTTTTTTGAGCATCAGGCTTTCTTCATCAAGTTACAGCAACAGTAAGACAATTCCATCTTCTTTTTTTGTCGTCTGATTGTGCTGAGAGCATCCCGCCGAGCAGAGCAATTCGCTCGCAGCCACAGCCCACCCCGAGGGGCTCGCAGCCCAGGGGCAGCCAGGTGCTGCCAGCCCTCCTCTGTGAGCAGAGCCTGGGGAAGGACGCAGGCTTGGTTAGGGAGGGAATGGACCAAGATGCCCTCAATTTCAGCCCCGGCTCTCCACTACCAACCTATCCTTCATCTGCCATGTATTGTGCACTTGCAGTAAACAAACGCTTAGATGGGTCAGTGCAACTGCAAATGCTTTACAAAGGGGAACCGGAGGGGCTTCATCCATGCCTTGCACTGCCTGGAGAACTCCTGGCAGTGACCTGCTTGCAGCGAGGCTCCTGGGAAGGTACAGCCTGCCCGGGTCTGTCCTGCCCGTGGGCACCCACCCAGCTCCCCCAGGACATCCCCACCTCGCCTTGCCGCAGCGCCATCCCCAGCACTCTGTTGGTGCACGCTCCTTGTTTCTGTCTCCTTTCTCTTGCCATTCTTTTTCCTCGTTATAAATTTTGCATTTCTAGCCTGCTTGTCATATTTCCTACCGGATTGGGTGTTTAATTAAAATCATAATTAAAATTGATCTCCTCATTAGCATGCACCTGCTCTGCTGCTCGCGTCCTGGCATTTAATTATACACTGAAGATGTCAAGTCTGACAGGCGAGAACGAGACCCTGGCCAGCAACCCCTGACAGGACTTCCTGGTGACAACATCTGGACGGCGGGGACCCATCTGCTGGGCAGGGGGACACGGCACTGGGATGCTGGCAGGGTTGCCACTGGTTTTGCTGGGGTTATCTCATTATTTCAGTAGCAGAGTCGCAGCCAGCACTTACAGCTGGGAGCTCCTGTGGCCTCCCTCAGCCAAAGCCAAGCTGGTGGGGACTGGGGCTGAGGTGGACACCAAGCTCCCCGTCCTCACACTGACATGGATATGGAGTCAGCAGGGCTGTTAACATCCCTTTTGGTGTTAACACAATGTCTTGAGTTTTCCACCACAGAAATGCACAGGCCAAGTTTCCCTGCAGGCACAGACCTCCTCCTACTCGCCGGGCTCCAAGGAAAGCCTTGTGGTGCCAGTGAGCTCAGGCACGCATCCAGGCGGGTCCCAAAAAGGCCCCGCAGCACACCTCGCTCTCACTCAGTGAAAACAAACCTCCTGTCACCGCACCTTTTGTAAGCTATCAACAGAATTATCAAAGTGGCCTCAGTGTGCAGCAGAAACTTAAACTGCATCTGTTCCTTTTCTTGTGCGTGCCACACAGTAAAGCTGCCAAAAGGCATTTTTGGGGCTGTTTTAAATTAGGAGTTTTATTCCCCTGCACTTTCAGAGTCCCTAACCGATGGATGTCAGTTTCAGTGGGACTCACAAAACGATGAAAGCCAACATCAGGCATACCTACCAGCTCCAGCACCCTCCCCAGTGGGAGCTGTGTGTGCTGTGGACCTCCCTTCCCTCCCCACATCCAGCACCACGGGGTGCCCCACCTAGCACCCAGACCCACAGCCTGTAGCTGCGGAAGCTTCGGCCCAGATGCTCTGAATGATGTAATCAAGGGTGCTCATCAAATCAGCTTATAGTAAAGACTGAAGATGGGAAGACCTTTAAATCTCCCTTCAGTACCACTTATTGCAACCGATGCCAGTCATTTATCCCCAGCCAGGACCGGCTGCTAACACACAGCAACGTGCCTGCATGTATCAGGGAGAGATGATGTGGAAACAATACCTTAAGGTGCAGTTGCCCTTACATTTTTATGGCTACTTATAAGGTTGGGGCCATCAAATGCCAGATATAGAGACCTTCATGCAGTGAGAGGCACAGCTGACTGAAGCTGAAGCTTTACAACACTCGGGCTCCCCCAAAGCTGATGCATTTTGAGAGCATTTTGTGTTCGAGAAGGGAATGCCAGGGATGCAGCAGGCACACAGGGGGAGGGAGTCACCTTTGCAGGAACAAGCTGTACGTGTGAAGTGTCACACATGGCCAGAGACTGAAAAACAAACATTCCCATTTTGCTTTTAAGGACGCCTTTAGCAGTAGAGGGCTTTAACAGTAACAAACACTTCAATTTGAAAAAAGAATATATATTAAAAAAACAAACCAGCCAGTAATAACCATTCTACTACTCCTTAGAAAGACAGTGAGCCCCATTAATCATAAATAAGGCAGTTGAACATTATGAAGAAAAATACACAACCATTAATAGCCAGACACCAATACAGCATCCCATTGGGGAACATTATTTACGAGGCTATATTGTTATCAATCCTGCTGGGAAAAATTCTGCTGCACGAAATGAGATACAAGAAGACTGCCGTTTATGTGGGATGGAGCAGGGGTTAGTTAGAGCCAGCAGCATACATCGATGGTGATGTACGTTGGCTAAGGATGCGGCTCTAATACTGACTCCGTGAGGCAGCAGAGTAGGGCTGTTCTGCCAGATCCTGGGGTGCTTCATTTGTGCAAATTCTCAATGATTTTAATGAGATTTTGCATGAGTAATAATTCATCAGCCTTGAGTAGAGGCCAGGGAGGAATTAAGTGTGGGCATTCGCAAGGTTGCTGAGCTGGAGAGAGGGTGATATTGCAAAAGGCCATGTGCTCAAGAGCACAGAAGAGCAGAAATCAGCCCGGAGCAGTGTGCCGCACTTGGAACAGGGAGAACTGGAGGCATGAGTGAAAAATGGAGCCTAAATAAACATTCGTCATTTGATTTCTAATTACACAATTACGTAAATGTATGATATTAGTAGTCAAGAGCCTGGAGTTTTCAGTAAAGAGTCCCTTAAGTAAATAAACGTTTTCAAGCAATTACATCCTCGGGATGAGATTTTTAAAAATGAAATGCTAAGAATCATGCAAGATTCTACCAGGAGGGAAGAGGAAAAGAGGAAAAGAGGCCACGAGAGCGATGAGGCAGGATGCTGAGCTCTGCAGAGGTCTCGGGGTGCTGCTCCAGCAGGGGGGCACCCAGCACCACCCACACCTCGCCCCCAGCACCCCCGGCCCTTCCATGCTCTCAGGCAGAGTTAGCTGGGAACCAGGCAGGCGGCGAGGGCTGCTTCCCTGCTTACTGTTTGCCTGTGCAAGGAGCTAAATATTCATTGAGTAATTAGTCAGTTCAGATTAGCGTTATGAAAAGACAATTCCATCTAATTATAAGAGATATCAGCCTGAAGATGCCACACAAGAATGTCAGTCGCAATGGAAATGCAGAATATAAATAAATAAATGTATGTATAAAAACAAACAAAAGCCTATCAAAACAACCAAGAACAAAACCCAATCCTCGCATTACATTTGATAATTAAATATTTATCAGAGCAGAGGAAGTAAAATCCATTTCACTGTTTGGGGCTAGTTACAATCTTTCTTTTTAAAATCCTTTTGCAATTAGTTCCTTCCTTCCTCAGAGATGGGGCCACTGCAATAGTCTTCAAGTCTGTCCTGGAGAAATTGCAGAACATTTTCTTGTCTGATTGGTATGTGCGTGTGCAAGTGTTTCAAGGAACTTTCTTTCTTTAGCTTGGATCCTCACGCTGAGTGTCCTTAATGACTGGTTGCTATGGGTTCTGCAGGCTGGAGGAATCGCTTCGTTAATGCTTACCATTAACCCAGGGATTACCATAAGGATGGCTTCCTATATTTTCCTTATCCTCGGTAAGGGCTACAAAGAGCTGTGTCTAAGCAAGACAAATTCACCTAAGCTACGTTGATTCAGTTTTTGGGGTGAGCTCTGCCTCGACTGCTCATATGATGCCATTTGATCTCAGGAATCCTTATTCAGAACACAGCTCTGCTAACACCCGTGGCACCGAGCTCTGCTTGGGAACTGAAACGCTGGCTGGGAGGGATGAGCGCTGGCCAGACCGACGTGGAGCAGCTCTGCACCTCTTTGCCTGCTGCTGCTGTCCGAGTCTGCTCCCTGCAGCAGCAGGAGATGAGGACGTGTGGGTTGACGGGATGAAACGCTGAAGCAGAGCAGCGCAGCAGCTCTGGGAGAGCCCCTGCTTCCTTACCGTTCTCTAAAAACCAGGACATGAAGCGTTGTTATGAAATTTCACATTTGAGATAATTGCATTAAGGTAATTGCCACTACAGCATTATTTTCCATTCCTAGGAGAGGATGAGAGGAAGGCTGAGTATATTGTGTCTGCGTTAGCAGATTAATAATTACAGCCCTTTGGAACATTGCTAGTTTGTATAGATTCACAGCTGCCGGATCATTATGAGGCAAACTTGAAGATACCCTATAGGAGCAATATAGTGCTTTCTGCACAGTTTGTTTCTTCTGCTGCTTGGTTGTTTTCTCTATGCTTTCATCAGATTCCCAGCTTGTTAGAAACAGGAAGCATTTACTACCTGAAGAAACCGAGAGCTGGAACAGTGCAGAATGGCAAAACACCATTGGGGATTACCTGGCTAATATGTTTGAAAGGAAATATTCGGTCTATAATAGGAACGCTTTGCACTTCTTTGCAGCAATCCCATCCTTCAGAGGCTCTGGCTGCTTCACAAGCACAAGTTAACCGAACCTCAGAGTACCTCCCGTGAAGGATGAGAAGATCTATCGAGATCTTCTATTGCTGCTGAAATACAGCCATCTCTGCAACCACTGTTTATTTGCTGCAAAGTAGCATAGGAAACAAAGTGGAAGGCTCCCATAGCCTGTTGAAAAGGATTAATAATTTAGGAAAGTTGGATGACGTTACTGGAGTGGGATAATTCACCATTACAATGAAGAGAACACAGAAACTCTAATGATCACACAGCACAAGAGAACATCACTTTTGTATCCCATCTAATAGAGCGTATCCCCTGCCACAAACAGGAGCAGCCTACTGTGAATTCACAGCAAACCTGGAAGAAGACATTGACTGCACGCAGAAGCTGTTGCTCTTTAGCTCAGCTGCCTGATTAGAGTGAATTGAAAAATAAAAGCATAAATTGTGAAAAGAAAATTAGATTGATAAATTGATTTCAATTTTCACAATCTGGGATGTAACACAGCAAAGAGTTCATTTAAAAGCTAAGAACTCTGTCTTCCCTAATGGTGTCTCTTTCATGTATTGATTAATGTCTATATAAAGCACACCATCTAATTTAGGGCACAGTAAAACAATATTATATTTCTGCTGCAAAGCAACTTAAGTGATTTAACAGAACTTTAGCGTGCAGCTAGAATTGGTCATTCACAGGTGATGCAGTCTGCATGGCAGGCCACAGAGAGGTTATTTGGGGGGGGCAGCAGGTGAGGAGCGCACAAGGACAACCTGCACGTGAGCCCACTGCATGCATTTTCCAGCAGGGAAGGACAAGGGACCGGAGGGATCTTAGTCCCATCACCTCCTAGGCATCATCCGAGCCAGCCCAGCCATCCCCGTTGAGGGACTTGGATCAGGCTCTGAGCTCGCTAAGTCCTTGTCAGACCTACGGCTCGCCTGTACAGCCGCGCAGCTTGACCTCTGTGCATCAGAAATTATATTCCAATCTCTGTACAACACCCAGGAGTATCAGCACCGAACACCTACAACCACTCAGTGAAGGAAATAGGATGACAGCTACATCTGTAATACCCAGCAGAGGAGAGGAGACCACTCTCTCTCTCCCTTTTCTTTCTTTCTCTCTCTCTTTTTTTTTTAAACATACACAATTACAGTGCTGAGCATTATTTGGATTTGCCTCTACAGCTGCTGCTGTCCTGCAGCGTTCTCCAGCCAAATTACATTTCAGAAATGACATTTCTACTCACAGCAGCACAGCCTGGCTCCCCTTGGAACGGGAGGGAAGGGGATGTAATGACTTTAGCATTCCTTCTTCCAATAAGACACAACCAACCTACAAGAGAAAGGGGTGGGCTGCCCTGCCTTGCAGCTTTATAGCAGAGCTAGCTGAGACAGATCACTTGCAGCTGGAGGGCTGGGTCAGGAGTCACTCTTTAAACAGTAGTAGTTAATCTGGCTGTTTAATCTATTAATTCCCATCCATGCTTCTCTATCTCGTTACCTATCCATCAAGGCTAATTATACCAACCTCATTATCCTAGCATCTGATGCCCTCCAACCATTTTTATACTGTCACAAGAATGCTTACAAACTTTTAAAATGTGCAGCGTGCTTAAGCGGGACCTCGCCTGTCACGGCCAAGCAGCAAGCATTCTCCGTGGCGGAGCCCTTGCCTGGCTCTTATTTAAGCAAAAAATCTCCTGAAGGATTGCCAGGGTGCGATGCCTTGTCAAAGGTGATTTTATACATTATTGTTGCAGTGCAACATCAAGGCATGCGTAAGAGCTCTTTGCCAAACTCACCATCAAATTACCTTTTCCTTTTGCCATACTAATTGCTAACCCTTGGCAGGAAGAAGGCTGCTATCATTTTGTCATTCACATGTAGAAGAAAAACTCCAAATAAATCCTGAATCCTGCGCTGTGTTTCCAGCAGTTTTTCACCTTTCTGCTGCCGTTCCCTTGAGATTTATGCCTCACAGTCGGGAGGAACCTGCAGCATCCATTCGTACCCGTTTCTTGTCTACTTAAGTGGCAAGGGCCTGTCAATGCAAGGAAGTTCCATTGATTTAATGTGAGACACAAGATCCTACCACTGCCGCTGAATCACTGGCCATATTCTGGATAAGGAGCGGTTCATTTGGGGTTGGCAGAGACCAGGCAGGAGCTGACAACACGCCCAAACTGGAGCATCCTGCTGAGAAGAAGGAGCAGAGGAGAGGCAGAAAAAGAACCAGAGCTGCAGTGCTCTGAGATCCCATCTGAGCTAACACAAAAAAAACGGCTTCTAACACAAAGCTCTGGGGCTTCTCCCATCCCAAGCTGGAGTCAGGGTGAGGGCACCGACCACAGCGACCCTGGTGCTTTGGAGCAGGACTTTGGGATAAATGCGTGTTTGTTTATTTTTACAGCTCCTTCCCACCTTCAGGTGCACAGGCACAATTAAAAAAAAAAAAAAGAGAGAGAGAGAGAGAAGCATGTAAATTGCTCGCTGTATTGTAGTATAATGAAGTATTATGTTTCCCTTGTTGCTGCATTTCATTGTAAAGAATCCGGAAAGAGAATTGGCCTGACAGAAGCTCCCACTTCACTCCTAATACTGGGGAAATTAGAGCAGAATCACATACCTCATTTCTTGCCAGGTGAAGGAAAGGGGTGGCTTTGTGCTGAGACCTCAAGACAGGCAAAGCAACGGGCAAGGAAGGGTCCAGTCTGGGGGGAAAGGTGGGTGCAGGATGAGCGGGAGACAGAGCACATGGAAAAGAGCAGAGGCTCCTTGGCTACATCTCTTTTCCAGCAGTCAGAAGGCACTCCTCGCAAGGAAGGGGTTAGAAAGCTTGTAAACTAATCCCAGTTAATAAATGATTGATGTTGTCATTCTTCGGGGTGCATTTTAAGCGGGAAGATTTATCATCATTCCGAAAAAGCCAGAAGAAGGAGAGCTTCTGTAAATGGAAGTGTTTAATAGCAGCACCAGGCCGGTGGCTGGGGTGATGTTTTCACACAGACGGGGTTTGATATTCCCGTGCCAAGCACTCAGACCAAGGGTCATACTGCTGCCTGCCTCCATCCTGTGTGGGAGGCAAGCTGGCTCCCAGGGGAAAGCTGTCATCGACGGGACTCGGATGGATGCAGAAGCCTCCTCCTGCTCCGCCAAGCCCTGTGCGTGCAGGGGAAGGTTTGCAGGAGCTGTGCAGCCCCCAGCCCAAACCCTCCCCGCATCCAGCGCTGCAGCCTCACTGCAGGACGCCTCGTCACAGCCCCAGATCCCAGCTCTCAGCTGCACCACGGCTGATTATAATACCCCTCTTAAAGACGTTGCTCACCACACATCTAGCAAACACCCTGTTGCCAACGAGGACTCTGCAGCCGGTTTTTCTGTGCTGGTGAGGCTGCCAGCAACTGGTTCCTTTGTTCTCTGTCTGGTACCATGAGCGAAATGGTTAAAAAGACATGAAGAATAAAGCCCTCTAATTTAGCTTTCCTTTCAACTTGCAGGAAGCCTTGGAGGGGCCTCTGGTAAAAACATCCTCCACTGTAATCTCTCTGCAAGCTCACCCCGAGAGCTGTCTCCCTGCAACTCTTCGCCTCCCATCCCGTTTGCAGCTCGGAGCTGCTCAGCACCTCAGCTGGCGGTGCTGGGCTCCCAGCCTTGCACCCCCAGCCCTTCCAGCGCCGGCTGTGCCACGGGCTGGCTGCGCTCTCGGTCAGGGAGAGCATTAACCCATCTGGCCAGAATGGAAAATCAGCCTTAACCTTTGTAAATCCAGCAGCAGCTGTCAAATCGGCACTCTGGAGAAAGAGGGCTTGCATTTCAGCAGCACAGCCTGCTTCAAGCTGTAGGAGAAAGCGTGAGACTCTCCCCAGTTGGCTTCATGTAAGGGATGCACGAGGATCCTAGATGCTGCTCCCGTCTCTGTCGCAGACACAAAAACTAATCAAAACGAAGAGCAGGAATATTGCCCTCACATCACCAGCGCTGTAAGAATATGAAATGGTGGAAGAAAAGTAATCTGAGGTTCTCCGGCTAGAATTTAAGTAGTAGCTTGATCATCTTTCTGTTGAACTTACTGGGAAAACTCCTCTTGAGCTTCACAGGAGATAGATAAAACGTATTATTGTTATCATTACGTATAGACACTGGCCAATACAGTAAAATTTGTCTGCGTTCGGTCCTGTCTGTGTGTATGGAATGAATCAGGTTAGCAGCAACAGCCCCGGGCTTCCAGCAATCCCCTCTCCGATAATATAAACAGAAAATTGGAAAGGAAATGTCATCTCACTGAGTTCGTTCCTGAATCATGCTTGATGAAATATTCTTTATAAAACCCTTAAAGAGACTAAAGACATCGGTGTGCAAAAAAGTAACACTGCTCCAAGGAAAATAAATAAATAAATAAACAAACAAACAAATAAATAAATAAATAAATTAGCAGTACAATTAGCTCTGGAAGCGGCGGCAATAAGTAATTGAACTGTTTGTTTTGTGGGGAGGGGCAGTGATGACAGTTCTCAATTCCCGCTATTGACAGCAGAGGAAACAGCCCATGAAACCAGTCATTTGCTGGGAATTTTTGTCTATCAGTGGCGAGCGGGGAGAACAAGAGAAGCATGAAGGATCAGATTAGCTGTCAGAGCCTCGTGCAGCGGCGGCACTGCAGCCTGCCCGCCCAGGAGCTGACGCAGACGGGCGAGAGCTGCACTTGCTGCATCCCACATAGCACCGCACACACCCACCCCGACACCTCAGCACCACGAACCCTTCCAGCAGCTCTGCACATCTGGATGAGCCTTGCTGGGGCTCTCCCTGAAGCTCCGCTGTCCCGCAGTGCCAACAACAGCCCCAAAGTCCTTGGGCTTCATCAGAGCTGCAGGCCTTGCACATGTTTTACTGCAGCACCTTGTGCACGTGGGCACATCTCCAAGCTGCTGGGCTGTGTTCTGTGCTAAATGTCCGGAGCTGGGCAGGGAAATTGTCCCAGCCAGGAGCCTGAGCCCTTCTGCCTGCGGTGTGCGGCAGCCGAGCTGCCTCAAGTGCTTTCTTATTGCCGGGGTGTGCTAGCAGCATTTGAAGAAAGCTATTAAAAATTGCACTGGCTGAGGTTTTTCCAGAGGAGGGGAGGTATAGATTTGTCTCTGCCATTGAGAAATGAACTAGTACTAGCAACACAATTTTAACTTATGAATTTCTGATCAATAACCTGTTTTCATTGATTCCCCGACTTGCTGTAATGAACTGATTAAGAGAAACAGAGCTGCAAAACCAAGTGCAAATTGGCCTGCTGCTTTCCATGGGCAGAGAGGCAGCCCGAGCTCTTCGGGAAGGAGAGACTCGGCTCCGTGCAAGGCCACACAAGTGCTGGGGCTCCCTGACCACCCCAAGGGTCCTGTGGCCATGGAGATTGGAGGCTGAGCCTGGGTGGGAAAGGCTTCCCATGGCTCTAACACCATGGGGGGATTCTTGCATCTCTCCACCACAAACCATGCGTTTCTTCTTGGCATAAAATTCCTGTCCCACGGCCAAACACAAGCTAGTGTTTTCAGACCTCACAAAGAAATTCAAACTGATGAGGGAGAAAGCAAATGTTTTCAAAATCTGTTAAGATGAAGCATTTGCATGGGCAGCTTGGGAATTTCTTCTTCTCTTTGAGCCAGTTCATTTGTATCTGCTCTTTCAATAGTCTTTGTATTCACTTGATTTTTCCTTAGTTTCCATCCTTCCCTACCACTTCCAAACTGTAAGAATAAAAAAAAAAAATACATATTTTCCTCCCTTAACTACTTTCATCTGAAATTAGAGCTAACATTGGCTGACCCTGCTGTGGCTGAATCTCAGCATTTTCTGTATTGAATCCTTCCTGTAAAATTTATTAGATGGTGCAGTATTACCCTCATAAAAATACAATAAATGGCCCTGTTTGCATTATATGCCATAATGACTCTAACCTAGTGGCATTCTTAGAAAGACCTCTTTAGAAATAAAGGGGCAGAAAAAAAAGTCTAACAGAAATCTTTTGGGTAATTAGATTGCCGGAGTGCAGAAACCTTTAAAATCATTTTAAGTCAAAGGAAACCCAGACTCTAAATCAGAGGTTAACAGCATTTGGTGCAGTTGCAAAACTCCACAGTTTTGCAATCTTGCAACTTTTTCCTTGCACTGCGTGCTCTTACAGTCATCAGAGGACAATCTTCATGCCTTCTCCTTGATATCCCCGTTTGCTGCAGCAATCAGGATGGCTCCTGAGATGTCCTTTCCTTGCACCATCTCTGTCTGTCCAGGGGTGGGCGAAGGCTTGCACCTCGTACCATGTTCTTGGGATGGATGCTCTGCGGGTGGTACGTTGGGGCAGGGTGCACAAATGCTCCTGGTAGCGCACAAAAAAGAGATCATACCTGTAATTAGTGTCCAGGTGTTAATCGTGGGGCTGGGCACGTGGGTAGGTGTGTTTGCCATGGGGACTGCCTGGGATGTGGTTGCTTTGTGAGGGTGTGAGGCTGGGTGCCTGTTCGAGGCGATGTGTGTCCGGTTATTAAACAGCTGCTGGATTTATTTGCCTCATTTCTCCTTGCTGAGCTGGAGTTTGCCCAGTGCCTTCTGAAATTTAGCTACAAGAAAGGACAGTATATTTTGTCATGCCTGTGTTACATATGCCATAAAATGTTTGTCACACTGATTTAAAAAGAGATGTTGCATTACTTAAAAAATATTTAGCCCTATATGAAACCAGTCAAATTTTACTGCATTTGAAATCAGTGATGTACTGCGATATATTCTGCTGGATACAGACTGCCTTCCAAACAATTAAATTCTTTCATAAATTACAGGCACACCAACATGCAGAAAGCACGGCAGGGGCTAACTGCAGCTCTGACCTGGCCTGGAACCGAGCAGCCTCAGAGATGTCTCTGGTTAAGCAGCAGCTCTGGAGCAGAGGGACCACCAGCTCCCACCGCCCAGCTGCATGGGGAGCAGCCCCACGGGGCTCCAGGCTCCCCCCAAAACACACCCCCTTGGAGCAGCCTCTGGTTAAGGAAGCTGCAACAGCTTTTGTCCTACCTCCGAGCTTTTTTTTCTGGGAGTGCGAGCACAGATTCTGGCCTGCTCATTTGTGGCACGAGCATCCTTAATATCATGGGCTGTGTTATAGACCTTGCCATTGCAGATGCATTGCAGGCGTGAAGGCTGGAGAGCAGAGAGACGGGGCGTGTGACATTGATGGGAGCTGGAGCGGGGCTGGCAGGCAGCGGCGAGCAATTCAGATGATAGCTGTTTAGGAGAAGCAGCACAATGAGGGCATTTTTAGATGTTCAAAGCAGATCTGCAGGTCAGTGGGAAATATTAAATGTTTTCTTTTTTTTTTTCCCTTCATTTTTTTTTCATTTTTTTTTTAACCAGCTAACAGAAAGAGGAAAAGGGAATGGGGAAGGGGAAACCTGCCTTGATCACAGGGGGATTAATTTGCTTGCACAATGACCAGGATAACCTTTCTAAAAATTCTGAGCTTAAGCATCTGTTCCTTAAGCACTGCAACTTCCTGCAATTTTTCAGCTTTCTGGTGAGGTCTGGAGCTGTGCTGGCCTGGCCTCAGCGGCAGCAAAGGAGCATGGTTGGAGGGGATGCAAGGTAGAAACACATCCACACAGCGTGTTCCTGCAGCTGCTGATTATTACCAGGATGTTTTTCAAAAGTATGGTGCTTCAGAGCAGAAAGGCCATAGTCAGACACGACTTTCCCCATCCTTAATCCTTTGGAAAGCCTGGCCCTGTGGGTAAACATGCTCAGGCTCTGAGGCCCTCCAAGGGTCCCTGGGTGCTGTGCTAAGACAAATTAATTTCACAGCCCTGCTACCACAGCTCTGTCACGGAAGCACTGTGAAGGCTTTGCCCATGGGTTATCAGTGTGTGCTGCAGGTGAGCTGTTAATGAGGATGCCCATTCCTTGGGGTTGTTACGTGGGGTAAAAACAAAGCTGAGGAGGGGTCGGGTCTGTGCAGAGAGGGGACTTGGGCTGAAGATGAGCAGACTGCACCCCACGGCTGCTTCTCACGCCTGGTTCGCTGCTCACTTTCTGGTGACAGCCTGGGTAATGCAATAATGTTCAGGAGCACGTCGTATACACACAATAAAGGGCTTTCAGCTTTGCTAAACACTTCGCTTTTGCTCTGGTGTTTACCTGACCTGGCAGCCATTTATTGCTCTTTCAACTGCTCGCTTCTAAACATTATGGCTTAATTATATTTTAGGGAAGCAGCACTTCAGAAATATGGAGCTTGCTGTTTCAGTCAGGATGTGCATTTACTCGGTCCTCATTTCTTTACTGGATAAAGCAATTTTATCTGTACTTGACTTCATGGAGTTAAGTTATAAAGTGGAGACATAAAGCAAGGGAGAGGTAAAGCAGGACTGGAATAAGGAAGAGGAGAAGGTCCTTGTCCTGGGGCTGCCACGGACCCGTCCTGGTGCCCCTGGCCCCCTGCACCGAGCGTGGTGCCCCCTCGGGGCACGTGCCACTGAGGATGGGAGTGCAGAGAGGGACGAGGGGTGACACTCAGGACAAGGGATTTGTTCAGTCTCTGCTTTTTCTGCTTGTTCATTGAAGTACAATATGATCTTGGATAAACCCAGACCCCGCAAGCCAGCGGCCGCCGGAGAACAGCCAAATCCAAATATAGTTTGGTAACTAGATTTCTCCCTTCGCTCCCTAGGGCAGGGCTCCCGTCCTGTAATTTACTCGGACGGCATGTGGAAATGAAAACAAAGAGAGCATGAAAACAAAAGCTCACTGCTCTGCACGGCCAGTAATCGAAAACTCCTGACACTAAACAGAAATGAAAATGTTAATGGCAAACACCCAAAGCAAATGTATTCCATATGCAAAGGATAGCCATAGGCTGACAAATACAAATGTTGCCTTAGCTACAGAGGGAGGAAATAAAGAAATGCTACAGCAGAGAAGAAAGTAGATTTGCTTCCTGCTGAGTGCAGCGCAGCTCCCTGCAACCTGTGGCTCCCTTTGGTTCTCTCTGGCCAGCAACAACCATTACGGATCTCTGCAGCACTGGGACCTGTGGCCACAGCCTGCAGCAGCAGAAGGGGGCACGGAGCACGTCCCTTCCCTTTGTGCCAGCTGAAGGTGCCCAGCACAGCCCTGCTGCAGCCACCACTGCTGGTGGGCAGTGGGAAACCCTGGCCACACACAGTGGGGACATGCACATCCCCTCTAACCAGTGCCTGCTGGAATGGAAAGGGGAAAAAAGCAGCTGAGAGCAACTCCCATTGGCGTGGTGCAGCCTGCACCGCCGTGCATTGTCGTGCTGTTTGGGGGAGGCACGCCATCCATTTCTCCTGTGAAGGTTCTTGAGTCAGAATATGAGGCGGAGATTAACGGCTTAAAAATAATACACAGAGGTATAGCGAGAATACTGAACGTCTCGTCTGCAGCCCCCAGGGAAATTAGTCTAATGCTCGGCAAATGTTGGACAGCAAGGGGATTGCTCTCTTCCCACAGCCCCAACTGCTGCCGCTGGGATGGTTTATAGCACTTTGTCTTTTACGGCTGGAGCTCTTTATGGCTCTGGTGTTTTTAATAGCGGTAGCAATTCCTCCTTGCATACAGCTTTGCTGTCACGGACAAGGAGACCTGGTGATTAGGGTGCTAAGCTGGGACTTCAGAAGCTGGCCTCGCTTCAAGCCTTGCTCCCCCATAGCTTTGCTGTAAAACCACGGCCGTATAACCTGGCCAAGCACTGGTTCATTGAGAAACTGCAACGCTCCTGCCCGGCCTCTGCTCTCACCCCAGCTCCTCAGATGCAGGTGACACTTCTTGAAACTCCTGAAGGTTTTTCTCATCTTTTTTTCCAGACTTGCCGCATGCATCCGAAAGCGGGCAATTTTCACACTTCCTGGGTTTCACCACAAGCATTCCTTACAGCTCCATCTGTGAGCCTTAATTAGTGAATTTACTGACAGAAACTTTATTAACGCAGCGTTTTGGCTTGCTGGCAGTGCCTCGTGCCCTCCCAGAGCAGCGCTGGGCTCAGCAAAGCTCTGGCCCTGGGGAAAGAAGGGTCGGTGTGGGTGCCCGTGGGAGCTCCTGGCCCCAAGGAGGGCCGGGAGGGGGGCACAGGGGGCACAGGGGTCTCCTGCCTGCGGCCAGTCAGGAGGAGCAGATCCTCCTCTCACACTCTCCATCATGGCCCTATGCCCAGGCACCCATCTGCAGGCCACCAAAAGCCAGAGCCCATCTCCTGGGGAACAGGTCCCCAGGCAGCAGTCACAAAAGGGAGAAACTGGGGTCACCACAGGACCTTCCTCTTTCCTTCAATTTCTTCCCCTCCTAGTTTAAAAAAATAAAAAATAAAGAAAAAATTATCCAGAAATAAAAGTTAAATGTGAAGTCGAAACAATAAGGCATGGAAATAGCAGAAATAACTTAATTAAGTTTTTAAAGATTTCCATGCTTGAATAAATTAGCCTTCCTGCAAATGTCACAACAGTCAGAAAAAATGTGTAATCAATGGAGCACAATGTTACTTTGCTCTTTATTTAAATGAAAGCTCTGGTGGCGCGTTTCTTCTGCCACTTTCCTGAGTCTCTCTCTTCCTCCCCGCTCCCCACTTTCTCTTTGCCCCCACACTGAGCTGCTCCAGGGGAAAAGCTCCAGAAAGTTAAACATCAGCTTTTCTCTGCATTGCCGATGATCGGGAGAGGCTTCATTTGCTGTTCTACCCACGACTTCACATTTCCCCTATAGCTTGCGAGGCAAGCAGCTTTGCCGGGGAAGTGTGATAAACCATTGCTGTGTGCTGTTGACACGAACAAAAAGGAGGGGCCACTGCTGCTTTTTTTGTCAATTAGGCAAAAAAAAAAGGCACAGTCAGCGTGAACGCTGTGTGCTGCTGTCACGGCTGAAGGGCGTTTAGCTCAGGGCTACGAAAACTTCCCAGCTCCGCTCCCCTGCCTGGCTCCATGAGAACACAGCTTGTGTGTGGGGTAGCTCAAGGAGAGCAAAAAACCCAGAAAGGGTCCTGGATTAGCACCAGCTGCGGGAGAGGAGCAGCTCAGAAGCCGTGTCCACCACCTTCCACGAGATCCCAGCTTTGGAAGGAGAGCATTAAGGGATTGGTGCTGTGTGCATGCACAGGAGAGGATCCTGCAAGGCACAGAAAGCTGCACACTGTGCTTCTGTTAAAGCTCGGTTACAAATACTGTGTCCAATTTCAGGCTTCACACATCAGCGAAGGTGTGAGCCAACTGGAGAAGGTTCAGGGGAAAAGCAACAAGAGCAATCAGAGATTTTAAAACAGTGATACATGATGAAAGTTGAGGAAAAAGTCAGTTTGCGTATTCTATAGAAGAAAGATGAGGGGAGACGTGAAAGCAGGCTTCAAACATTTAAAGGAAAGCTCCAAAAAGGAAGAGAATAAACAGTTTTTCATGTTCACTATGAGGATGACAAGATAAACATAAACTGCAGCAAGGAGCATTCATGTTAGACATCAGAAACACACTTCTAATGGCAAAGCTAGTAAAAGCTTTGAAAAGAGCAAGCACCCAGCGAATGCCTCTAATGGCACGGCTAGTTAAGTCTTGGGATAGATCGCCCAGGGAGAGCATGGAAAATTCTCTTTTCAGGGAACAGATTGGAGAAGCATCTGCCAGGAAGGGTTTAGGTGGGACTGGTCATGCCCTGGAGGCAGGGGACAGATAAGGTGGCCCTTTGGGATGAGCATCCAGCCCTATTTTTTGTGATGTTGGTGTGTTTGCAGCTCAGTCCTGAATGCAGCCAGCATGCAGTGATAGGATGTGTTGGCCTGGGAACAGGTTAAAATCTTTCTGTTAAACTGACAGTTCCAGAGCCTGCCCAGTTTTCTTTAATATTGCTGAGAAGAAACTCATCTACTGGATAACAATTACTCACGTATCAGAAACAGACTCAGGGCATCAGTGTATTTTGCATAGGACACCATATGGGCATTAAATAATTGATGCTGTCAGTTACTTCAGCTGGGTCAGAGCTGAACCCTGGTGCTGCAGGAGAACAACAGGCTCAGTGGCTTCTCCTTCCTTTATTTCCTCAGGCACTAGAACTGCGATTCACATTCAGCACGTCCCCACGATCAGGCTGGGGCTCTCACTTGTACCTCCCAGCCCTAGCACACACGCTGGGTCCATGCAGCAAGGACTGAAGGAAATCACAAGCCGCTGCCATTCGAGTGCATTCTGGGTCCCTCTGGAGCCCCAGCTCAGGGCTATGATCCTTGTTTT